TGTGCTCTTCCGATCTATTAGAAATAGAGATTAAGAAATCGAGCAAATTAAAATGTTGTAATATAAATATAATTTTATCGTATAAACCCAGTCAACACGCATGTATAAACGACATCCGGAAAACGTCTTTCGAAAGATGTCTTTTTGGACTTTACGAAAAAGATGTTTTTAAGACAACTTTTAGTAAAGTCTGAAAAGATATCTTTCATGAGACGATTCATAAGACGTCCTTTTTAAGATATTTTTCAGAACAAGAATAAGACAGTGCAAATCCGGATGTCTATATTAACAAAAAATGTTGTTACGCCATAACTCTGCAAGTAATACGTAATAATAAAATGTCAATTCTGGATTGCTTTGCGGGTTATCCTAGCAGAGTATCGGATATAAGAATTTTTCGAAATTCGCCAATATATGAAGATTTCACGAATCATCCGAATAATTATTTTGATGAAAATCAATTTATTATCGGAGATAAAGCATATCCCGTTTTACCATGGTGCATACCTCCCTACATCGAGAGAAGAAACGTTACCGATAGGCAAAAACATTTTAATTTTTGCCACGCCAAGTCTCGCCAAGTAATTGAACGTTGTTTTGCTCTTTTATTTGGAAGATTTAGGCGACTCAGATATCTTGATATGAATCGAATAGACTTCATAGCACCAACAATAATTGCTGCATACGTTTTACACAACATATGCTTAAATAGAAAAATCAGCCAAGAAAATCAGGAAATACAAGACATGTATATAGATGAAGGGCTCCAGGCAGTGGTGAATAACGCTAGCAATGTTAATCATGAAGCAGCTAATTACGACAATATGAATGCGCAAGAACTGGAAAAAGAAGGTCACATATTACGGGACAGAATTGCAGAAAATTTGTATCCGTTTCAATAAAAGTCACAAATTTCATAAATCATTGATTTTATTTTATATTCAATCTAATAACATCACCTTTTACATTTATAGTTTATTATTCTGTATTTTCGATTTTTTCAAAAATATAGTTTTATTTAAAAACCTTATTTATCATAAAAAACTACTATTGGAAAATTTAACATAACTAAATATAACATGTAATATAGTTTTTCTTAAAATCTACTTGAACACAAACTATCTTAACTCAAATAATTTTACTTACAAGCTGCTTGAACGTTAATCATATTCGAAATGAAATATATTTATTTCGCAATACTTATAGGTAATAAAAATAATATCACATATATTTCAATCTAAAAGTATCATATAAATTTTAATCTAAAAGTTGTATCACAAATTGCAGTC